AAAAAAAAAAAAAACTTTTAAAATAGACCATGCTCTAATATTTCAACATTTCTTGCAGGGTTATTTGCAGGACATAAGTTCCACCAGGCTTCTATTGGTCCTCTCAGAAGTACTACTACAGATGTAAGACAGATGAAACAACCCTAAATTTTGTGTTCTGTATGCGTTCATCATACAGTTTCTTACTCCCCTGGTCTCCACGGGAAGAAGCAGATACTCCATGAGGAACAACATAATGGATCCTCTTGAAAAAGAAGGAAAAAAAAATCCTTCCCTTCCTATAAATAAAGCAATCCATCTATAGCAAAAATAGGTATAATCTAGACTTTGGAATGTTTTCCAAAGCAATCTGAGCAGGTATAAAGAAATGGATAAAAATTAATGTTATTACAACCCATTTCATTAACTGTAAAATTATGTTGGTGAAGAAAACTGACACTACTGTTTTCTTTACATAGGGATTTAAAAGTGATTATTTTTGTGATAGGCTTAAAGGGGGTGGGTGTGTATCCGATGTTTGATCAACTTTTAAAATTGCAAATATTAAGCTTTCAAAAATCTTTACTAAAAAAAAAAAAAAAAAAAAAACCCAACAAACTATCACTATAGTAGCTGCAGACTGCTATCAAGTACCCTGTCTCACCGCACACTCACCCTTGCCAGGCTGGATACATTTTTGAAATAACAAAATGAAGAGAGGGTGAGAAGACTGCATTCATTTGAAAGCACCAGAACATTTAAAAACTGATTATGACATCTGAGCTGCTCTCATTGTGTTATGAATATTGTGAATTTAATAGAATTTGGTGTTATTAAAACTAAATGCTTAATAGAAAAAAATCCGATTACTAACTTCAGAAAGTATTTCAGTACCAGTAGGCCACTCTGATTCTCAATCCTAGAAAATGCATCTATTTAAAAGAGTCTACCACTTCAACATACACACGTTACACACCTTTTAAAAACTGGGTAGGTTTAACCTGGTAATAATTAAAGGAAAAAAAATTTTTTTTCTTTGAGAGAAAGAGAGAGTGCATGCAAGCAGGGGTGGGGGTGAGGGGCAGAGGGAGAGAATCTTAAGCAGGCTCCAAGCTCAGTGCAGAGCCCAATACAGGGCTCGATCTCACAACCCTGAGATCATGACCTGACCGGAAATCAAGAGTCAGACGCTTAACCGACCTGGCCACCTAGGCACCCCAATTTTTTAAATGACTACCTAACAATTAGAAAAGTATCCCAGGTTTTTAAAGGACCAAACTAACCTTCTTTTGACTAGAAGAAAAAAGGAGCAAAAAATCCACACACTCCTGGGAATGGGGAGAGGAGATCTGTATGGATTCTATAATGTCAAGAATAACCATTTTTTTCAAATGATCAGAGGAAAAACATGAATGTAACTACTCCTGCAAAGCAGCTTTCAAAAAGGTGAGACTGTAAAGCAACAGACCAAAACTTAAATAATGGCTCAAGAGTACCAATAAATAAGTCTTTCAGAAAAGAATTTTAATTTCCTATTGAAAACGTTGGCAAGAGAGGGATATAATCTATGCCTAGATTTTTTACTATTTGAACTACCATCAAATGGCTTTTCTTATTTTGTAATGCATCATATTCAAAATACATTAAAAAGAGAATTAGTAGCTAATTATGGCTAAAAAACAAACAGAATTAAAAGCATACTATGAAAAAGCACAGATGAGCCAGAAAGTGTTTCTAACTCCCCTCCAGAATGCTAATCAATGCTTAATATGAAGCATACTGGGATTGTTCTGGGTGAATTTTGCTTTCCTCCACAGTCCACCATAAATACCTACACCTTGTTTTTAGTTGGTTCTCCAGGCAGGGAATGGAGAGAGCAACCCTTTGAAAACTTCTACCTGATCTACAGCAGCTAGATAAAATGCCTTTCTTCTAACAATGAAATATGACAAAGTATAACTGTAACAATCAACCTGTCTCTCCATGTACAAAAGCGAAGGTGCCCTGCTAAGTAAAATCATGCCCGTGCCTCTCCTAGATCAACCTCACCTCAAAGACTCAACGGAGGGAGAAGTAACCACACCTGGCAGACCACCCACACTACATCCTAAGAGCAAATGTATTTCAACATGATTCATCTCAATGTTAAGGATTCCCTAGTCCAACTCCTTCAACCAATGTGAATTAGCTAGAGATCTAAAGTTCTTACCTCTTCAGAAATTTGAGGTATCAGATTTCGGAAATATTTCAGTTGATCAACAAGCTTTTTAACCACATTTTCTGTAAACACTTCATGTGATTAAAAACTAAATGGACATGTGTTCTCCTTCCCCTCCCAAATCTAACAGGGCTAACCAACCTCTTCCTGACAAAAATATTTCATTTTCTAAGATGATACCACTGAAGGAAGCACCATAAGTAGGTGGGGTTGCTCTTTGCTGAATTCTCATTAGCGGAGAAAGGTTTGTTGGAACCCACGGGCATTCTGTCATTCAGTACCTGATATGCCACAAAAGCCCTTCTTGAGTTGGCAGCCAGAGTTCAGGTTTATTCAGAGACACACTGCTGTTTACCCTGATTATTACCACTATATCCTGTAACTACTCAAGATCGGACAGTAGATGGCTGGTATACATGCATAGTATCACCTCCTGGCATCAAGAGGGACTCTCTAAAAGAAAAAGGGTGATAAGAAAGATAGAAATCAAATGATCAAGCCACACATGATGTCAATGTGACATTACATTAATATCTCAGTAATTACAAAATGGAAATCACTAAAGTACAAAGAAACTAGAAATAAGATTTCTCAACTGAACTATCAACACATAAATGACTGGAAATGGATAGGATGAAAATGATATGGGGCCAAACTGGAGTGCATTACAGCCTTCCATCCAGCTACCTTGCATTTTAAAACAAGTCATCAGTATAATCTTCATTACAAATAAATGTCAGGTAAGGACACCTTACATTAAATCGTATTGTAAACAAATACTTTACATGGTAAAAGATCTGAAGAAATGCTACACTGTAATTCTTGTATCTCATAGCTTCCATGACTCATAATAATCATTTACCTTAAGAGCGGACTGTGGTTCCTGGGGCACCTGAGATGATTTTATTGATTTTAAGGTATACACTACTTCCCTCATTCTTTTTTTTTTTTTTTTAAAGATTTTATTCATTCATTTGAGACACAGAGATACAGAGAGAGAGCATGAGCAGGGAGAGAGGCAGAGGGAGAGGGAGAAGCAGGCTCCCCGCCGAGCCAGGAGCCCGATGTGGGGCTCGATCCCAGGACCCTGGGATCATGACCTGAGCCAAAGGCAGACGCTTAACCATCTGAGCCACCCAGGCGCCCCTACTTCCCTCATTCTAACATGTCCATTATAACATGTCTTAAAACTAGGATGAGGTTTACAATCACATTTTCCCCCATGGTAGTATATAAAATAATGGTGTACCTTACAAATATCTTAGATTCAATGAAACAGCGTATCTGGTTCTTTGAAGCCCTAACTACAATGTAACCCACAGCACAGACACCACGATTATTGGTGGGCTTTTTAAAATGCAAATTCCTGAGCCCAGAATCCCTAGGAGGATTAAAACTCCTGCATGTTTAATGAGCTCCCCAGGTGGTTCTCACTCTCACTCAGATCTGAGAACTTCAGATCTACAGTACAGCAATCCAAACACACACAGAAGTTTGGAGATGGGGGGGGGGGGGCTGGTGAGACACACCAAGGCCAAAAAAGCCCAAAGTAAAACTTATAAAACAAGAATTTCATTATTTCCTTAACAATGAATGGAAATCAGCCTGACTCTGGGCCAGATCTCCTGTTGGGGTGAGGAGGGAAAAGCAGGCAGTGAATAAATCTGGAGACAAGTACTGAGGAACAGAGCAGAGAGAACTCTTGTTTGCAATGGTTACAACAGTATTAGATTCAAAATTACCCAAATGTTTTCTTGTAGTTTTTCCTGACCCACCAAAGCAGAATTTCGCTTAAAAAGTTATAATCCAGTGGAAGAAATCAAATGGTGATCAGATTTCTGTAACTGGGAGCACCAACATGCCAAAAACAGAAAATGACAGTTCAGCCTGCTCCTTCTGAGTTCTACAACTGCGGGTTAAACAGCTGTAATGTAAACCACTTAATCCCACACTGTACCATCCAGGAAAAGAGAGATGGACTGACAAAAATACCTATCATTGAGAACAAGGGCAAAAATAAAACTAAATACATTTAACATTCTTAAAGCTGAAAGGTGCAAGACCCAAGAACCAACAAATTTTGACCCCAGGTCTCACAAAAATCCAGCTAGCTCAGAGCTTCGGATAGTAACATACGTTTGTTTGGTACTTAGTTCACAAGGATTCCTGTCCTTGGGGTCACGTATCTGGCTTTTAAGCAATAGTTCTGCATTTAGTTGATTCATGAATGGCATTAACCAAATTATTTAATTCCATGCAAGGCCTTATTTTCTTAATTTGGGGAGATTGAGCAAGATTCCTAAGATATTTAAACTTTAAGAGGTTTTGTGACTTTTACTCAGCTCCTAAAATACAGTCAGCTGACTTTCAGAGGGGGAAATTAAGTGTTCCCGTTCTTCTAAGTTTCCACTGCTTACCCCACTGGTATTTTCATTCTCTTTTTCATTGGCCTCCTCCATTTGATTGAAGCTGTTCTAAGATGACTTACATTTCCCTTATTTCTAATCCAATTAATTTTTCATCTACTCTTTATGATTTTTCCAGTTTTACTCTGGTGAGTTTTTTTCTGATTTCTTTCTTTAGGAAATTAAATTCATTTAACATAAAATTTACTATGTTAAAGTGTACAACTTAGTGGCATTTAATACATTCACAGTGGTGTGCAGGCATCACCTCTGTTCAGTTCTAAAACACTTTATCATTCCAGAAGGAAACCTCATACCCATTAAACAGTTACTCCCCATCCCCTCTTCCCTTGAGCCCCTGGCAACCATTAGTCTGCTTTCTGTCCCTGTGGATTTACCTGTTCTGGATATTTTATATAGATGGAGTCCTATAAGATGTGATCTCTTATGTCTCAGTTCTTTGACTCAGCATGATGTTTTAGAGTTCATCCGTAGGACAGCATGTAAGAATACTTCATTGACTTTATGACTAAATGATATTCCATGTATGGATGCATTCCACATTTTGTTTAGTCATCCACTGATGGCCCCTGGTGAGTTTTTGTGTGCTAGGGAGAAAAAGTTGCAGGGACATATGTGGTTAAAAAAAAAAAAAAAAAAAGACTGATGACCCAAAACCGAGACTACCACTTTTTGCCATTCAACAATCTCTTAACCCTTTGTCCCTCTCTCCAATTACCTTCCCTCATTAATGTATCTTCATTAATTATGAAAGATTAATTACCAATGCTTAAGGTAGCAATCCAAATTTTGTAACTGTAATAAAATATCTATTAGGTTTATTTTGAAAGCCACTTTAACCCAGGGGTGCTCAGTCTTATTCTGATTCCCTTTTGAAACAAAAGTCCCCTCCCATGGGGATTTTGGAGGATGGAGGCCTGTGGCCTATGGCCCTTTTAAAAAGCCTCATTTGTGTTTGATTCTAAGAGATCCCCTGGTTGAGAATCACTGCATCGGACTCTTTATTTCTCACTACCAAGAAACGCTAGTCTTCAGCGAGCTGAGAAAACATTACATGGAATTTGTGAAACAAAGCTTCTAACACCTGTATAAAATGGGGGGGCGGGTGGTAACTTCAGTAAACAGCTAAAGAACTCGAGACTGGCAGCCTTTAGAAAGAAGTACAATTAATGATATGACCCAAACTGATGCCGATTCTGCCAATTTCTTGTTGAAGAGCATAAACTATTTATTTTCTAAGTTAAAATGGAGATCTCTTTGTACTCCATAATGCACGGTATGAGTATCAGCAACGTTTCCAAAAACTTGGTAAATCTGACTGCATACCACTAACCCCACAAGGTAGTCAAGGGTCCAAGGGGTCTGGCATCTACTGTCACCGTCAACCTTTACTTAACCTCTAGAAGAGTTCACATTTTCAACTGTAAAAATCAGAAAGACAGATAAAAGGACTTACTCTTTGGCTTGTGAGCAATAAATGTGCATATGAAAGCATACAGCACAGTGCCCAGTAAGCAATCTAAAATTACCTAGTATATCTTGTATCTATATATTTCTGACTAAAGAAAATAATAACAAAAGGTTCTGTCGATTAGACAGCAGCTTTCTATTACATGAAACTTAAAAAAAGTAGGGTGCGGGAGATGATGATGAAACACAGCTGGTAGATCTCAACCTCAAATCATCAATTTGTCATTATATTATTTAGATCTAGGGTCATTAACCATGGTACACAGTAGAGAATTTTGAGGACGGGGAAGAAAATGGGGAAGAAAAAGAAAGAAGGAACAGCACATTCATCAATGACACCCAATATCAATGAGCTGGATGAATTTTAAAACTGAGAAGTACCTCCAGTTTAGGAGACGCTAGAACTTTACAAGTGAGCCAAGACGGCCCTCCACAGAGTACAAATGCAACATCCAGTTCCACCCTCGCCTCTTCAGAGCACTGGGCCCGGGTTTCCGACGGCGAGCCGGGGCCCCAGCGAGGCACGCACCCAGGTGCAGCCCCGGCTGGGGCGCCGAGCCGAGCGCCAGGTGCAGGCGCCGCCCCGCCCTCCGCGGACCCGGGCAGGGAGAC